CATTGAGAAGACTTCCACAGTACCCCACAGACTCCGCCCCGCCTCTAGTCCGCTTTCGCCGCTTCAATTGAAAGACGGCGACGGCTGCTTTTAATGTTTCTGTTTTTCCGTTGTTTCATTTTTATGATACCCTGACTGAGGGTAGCATTATTTTTCGTAGAAGTTTGACATGCAGAAAATGAAAGAGCAGTTGGTCCTGCAGTTTGTCTTATTTTTATATGTTTCAATTACATATTTTTTATTTTTGTCGTGACTTTTTCCAAAAGTTGAATCATTTTTGTATTTAGTAATCAAACAGATAAAACAAATTGCAGCTTCCGTGGGTTTCTCTCGATATGTTAGAGCATCCCAACCATCGCTTATTCAGTGACTTATTACTTTGCTTTTTTTTATTATTCTTTAAATTTCTCCCAGTTTCGCAGCACCAGATTGGCGGGGAAAATCTGCGTAATCAACGGCAGTCGGGGCGCAGGAAAAATAAGTTTTGCCGCAAAAATAAATAAATAAATAACATTTTGTATAATAAAATGCAGCCGTACTGAGGCTGGAGGGAGGAATGGTGGAGTAGTGTCGGGGAAAACCACAGGAAGCATAAATTTTGTTATTTTTGGCAAGGAGGCCAAAGGAGGGTAAGGGAAAGTGTGGAGTGGCAAAGAGGAATCTGGTCGATGCTGGTCGAACCATTGATGTGATTAGGCCATTCGCTTGGACGGAAATTATTTAGTTTGACAGGATGCTCAGGTCTTGAAATGAAAACAACGTGTTCGGAATTTTCGGTACAGAAATTTAATTCAAAATTGAAATTTGAGCGTTGAAAGAATTTTTAAATAGATGGAATAACATTTTTTTAAGCAGCATTAAAGACAACAAATTATATAAATTAAGAAGACAAAAATGCTCCATAAACTACTTTTCACGTGCAGATCAACCTTTAATTAAGTGAGGTTGACTGTCCATGGTTAAGCCTTGACCTGTGGATCTTTGAAAGAATTTATTGTAATAATTCTAGCTACTTCTCTGGGTTAAACCTCACACATTTACTCAAACTATCCAACCCACAATGGATATCCTCATCTTTCCGTATGTAGATACATATATCCCCGTTTCTGTGTCAGTTTATCGGCTATTCAACTCCCAACAGCAACTCCCTGGCATATTTTCCGAATCAATATGCAATGTCCCACAAGTAACGGATTTCAAGCTCTCACTCAGTAAAGGCCACAGAGAGAGAGATAGTTTAGAGGTAGAAAAAGACAGCAATCATATCGGTAGAGAAGAACTGCCTGTTATAAAAGCCTCACACACACAAATATTGTTGGCTATATTGAGGGGCAGGGGAGCATCAGGTGGAAAGAAGCACGGGTAGGGACGCAGTAGGGAGCAGCTTTTCCATGAAAAGCACAAAACTGGGTTAGTTGCAGAGATTTGTACCTTTTCCCCACCACAGTAACCCAAACCCCATGTTGTGCACCTTTTCGCTCTCCCACCCCCACACACTGCTTTCTCAAGCTCTAAAAACAAAAATAACAATTGCAATCCCTAGCGCCCGAGCCCATGGCCCATCCGTTGCTGTCTCTGGCAATGCATTTCAAAACAGAAGCTGCCGAAGAAGCGAAACGCCCCCGACCCGCCACCGCCATATCTGTCAAGTGAGCTGGAAGTGATACGGATACGCAGCAAAGGAGAGGGAGAGAAAGAGAGGTGGAAAGAGAGGGAGACTGGAGTGGGAGAGCGAGCCAAGTGAACGACATCGAACGCTGAGCGTGTTCACGTGCAAAATTGCAACGATTCCCCAGCGAGTTTTCGGTTTCTCTCATCCTTCTTCATTCTCCATTCTCAATTTTTTTCTGCTGCTGCTGCCCAAAATCCGAATTGGCTTGCTTCAAGCTGTGTGTTCTTGTATGTACATACATATGAATGTAGGTTCGTATTGTGTGTGTTATGTAGCCGTGCATTGCGTGCGTATGCTTACATATAGCTGGCAGTGCAACACGAGTTGAATTTGGCGTGTGATCGATGTGGGTGTGCGAGAGTGGGGAAGCGGGATAGCCGGTTGTGTGCTGCCAAAGATTTTAATCAGCTGTTGTCGCTCCTGATTATGTCCAGGCCAGTGAAAGCCGATCGGCTGCGGTCACTGACTGCGCGCCGGCTATCAGCCAGCAGAGCCGCTACGATTTCCCTGGCCAGCCATATATGTATGTATGTTTCGCACACAGACACGCAGGGAGGCGCACAGATGCACTTAGTTAGTGCACACGAAGTCGGAGATTGCGAAAAACCCTGCAATATGTGGGACACAGTGAAAGCTGCCGTGTCCAGGCTGAAAGTTATTAGTATAGGATTTGGAAGAACGTTAGCCAAGCAATGTTTGATGAAGTTTTTTGTGAAGAGTCTATATGCTCATCCTCTATATCATCCCCCGATATCTGGGAGGATAAGGATATAAACTTGTACTTTGGGTTTCAGCCTGTATATCACATTTAGGTACCTTTTCAGCATAATTGCCTCTTTCTTCTGTCGCATGTCAACTCTGATTGTCTTCCTTCTGGCACTTCCCAAAACATCATCCCCCATAAACGGACTTCTCTCAGTCTCTCTCTTTCTGGCAATCCCCTTAGGCCTGGTCGCATCCGTTTCCGTTTTGTTCCCTTTGCAGCTGGCGGGCCAAACTCACCGAGGATGAGCTGCAAATGGAATCTTATCTATCTCTTTCTTTCACCTTGACCCCCTCTCACTCTCTATCTCTCGCTCTTACGTGGGTTTCTCACTCCATCGTTCTGGCCACATATTGTTTGTCCACAGTGCAGCGACGCTAAATTGTTTGTCTTCTGTGTGTGTATGGGTAGCTCCCTTCTCAATTCTCCACCCGACACCCGACAGCCCTTTCTCAAAGGGGGTGGCTACACACCCTTCGATGTGCGTGCGATGCCATTAACAATACGCCCAATGCCAAAAACTGGCAAACGCTCCAAATCCATTGTTATTTCGGTGGTCGATTGTTGTTCTTCCGGCTTGCGTGAGCTTAGTGGGGGCAACCTCTACCGCGCCCCCCTGCTAGGCAAATTGTGCAAACAAACAGTGGATGTTCCGTGGCGGTGGTGGGGTTGGGTGTTGAAAGGATGCTGCTGTTGCTGCTCCTCTCCATGCAAAATCGCCATGCGCCACAAATCGCTTCAATTTCTGTTCGTCGGCTTGGGTGGATAATATTGTTTGGGATTGGGCAAAATTTGGGGCAGAACTCGGCCTCGGTTTTGTTTTTTCAGCTCGGTTTGTTCTCAACTGCAACAATCTTATTAACAGTTTGTTGTTCGAACCTAATCAATTACCAACGTAATTACGAACTTTGCTAATCTGCCTCGGTTTGCCCAAAAACCAGGAGAGCCAGGCAGCCACATAGGAAAAGAGAATGATAGTGTGCCACACAATTTTGTTCGTGTTCGCTTTCATGTCCGTGTCCATGTCCTCTCGATTGGGATACACGACATGCTCTGAAACGCATCAGTGGATTGTCGGGGGATACAACTCGTTTCGCTGTCGCTGATGTGGCTCAAATTTCGTGGCCTAAATAGCGATTTGAGCAGCGGAGCATGACAAAAGATCTCATCAAATGTTGGGGATTGTTGAGGTATCCTGATGGTAGTGCTGAAGTTTGGAGTGGAAAGTAAGCAAAAGGAGTTGTCGGATGCAATGGATACTTAGAGGATTTAATTATTCGGAAATAAAAAGACTTTGAGCAAAGTTTTACTCACACTAGTCTTCCCAATAAGGTTTGTTCGTAATAGATAGGAAACAGATTCTTTGGACCTAATTAAATTTTGATTAAGTTTGGAATCCATAACAATATGTTTTCCTAAATCGGTTTCAAAACCTGTTCATTAAAATTTTTAGATCATGTTCAATTAAGTTGTTCAATATTGAACATGATTCAAGTTGTTCAACTTGATTAATCGTACATTCATGTTGAATCCTGTTCAATCATAAACATTCTTTCTCAATCATGTTAAATCATGCTCATTCATGTTGAATCAAGCTCAGTGCTGAATCTTCTCCCATTAATACTCACTTCTTAGTTTATTTCACTGCTGTCACTCTCAGCATCCATATCAATCCACACAAAACTTTCGTGCACGAATCCATAGCACACCATAAATGAATTTGCTTTTATTTGCTGCTCCCAAATGATTGCCACCCCATGTGGAATGTGCGAGTTTCAACATGGCTCTTCAATGGGCCGCTTATCCCTAGCCAACAATCAATTCGAATCCCACCCCTCTCCATGCATTGTGGCTGGGGCTGTTATCTATTGAAGCATTTGTTGGAAATGCCAAAAACTTTTTGCCTTAATCAAATGCCAAAATATTTGAATATGCCAAGACAAAATTATTGCCGTGTAAGCGTGCACCTCTTCTGCCTCCTGCCTTGGATTTGCAGCCCAATGCCTTTTGCTGTCGACGGCATCAGAGGCAACAACTTTTCCACGCATGATTTAAATGGGAGAATAAATCTTGCGTTAAGACTTGGATTTGGATTATGCAATGCCTGAAAGGGGCTGGGGCAGGACGAGACCGGAACAAAGTTGCTGCGTCACGTAGTTGCTAAATTTGTTTACACGTCCTGCCCGGGCATCCTCCTTGGCTTCACAACAGACTTTGCCACCCATGCAGCATGCCACATGACGCACCCGCACCCGGCACCCCGCCTCCACAATTGCCATAAAGTTTCTCATATGCAAATCGCAAGTTTAGCAAAATATTTCGTTTATTGTTGAAGTTTTCTTTAGTTACCCGCTCTCTCTCGCTCATCAACATTCTGTGTTTTTCCTTCTATTTTATTTTCGCTCTTCCGACTTCACTGCGCGAAACTTTTTGCCATCCGCCCACCAAGGTTTTTGGTGCAAGACATTTTTTGATAAATTATCCCCAAATCGTCAGTCAGTTCGGTGCGGGGCGCACATGTAAGTTTATGCCAAAAAATTTAGTTTTTTGTTGTTTTTTTTTTTGTATAAAAATCATGACACCTTTTATTGATTTACTTATTCTGGTTTTAGATGCTTTGGATGTGTTGTGGGTGAGTGAGTTTGAGTGTCTGTTTGGGGTATATTAAATGTATACATATATAATTCCCTCACTTAACTTACTGCTTTTTATCACTAGTATTACGTTCTCGCTATTTTCTTGACTTAATATCGCATCACCAATTATTCGCCACTCACCAAAAGTTTAATTACAATTATTTTCCCAACTGATTTAACATTTTTAGGGGATTTTTGGGGGTTTGAATTCGCTTAACATCTAATCAGAACACACAGCCTTGCTTTGTTTCTCTAAAAAATTACACTTAGCGGCTAATTATTAATTACATTTACACACACACACAAAGAACATGTCGTCGTAATTAAAGTTTTAATCCTAGTGGTGAATATAAGTGTTTGCAGTGAAATTCATTTTAATTTAAAGCCACATCCAGATAGTTTTGTATAAATGCACAACGCGCACGTTTTGACAAAATCCTTACAAAATACATACATCTATGAAGAGAATAGTTATTTTGAAATAAGTTTTTGCGCTTTTCTAATCTCATTCGCTGTCTGATTTGTCAATGCTTTTTTGTGTTCAACTACAACAAAGTGGGAAAACGAATTGCAAACATAATTGCCTACACACTTGAAGGTTTTCTTTGTGCTTAATTTTAATTTTACTTTATAAAATGGGTGTGCTTTACAAGCATACTCATAAAATGGCAGCTGTCTATTTTACAATATTTTTAGATTTCCCCTTTTACCAGATTCTATGTTACAGAGTTTATCATTTTGGTTTCTTGTGTACAGTTTTTCGATTTACAGTTTTTGGTAATTTGTATATACAACACCACTCGGTTAGGCAGCTTCTTCACGATTCAGAGACTTTAAGCGCAGAATATTTACAATTATTTGGGTACCTATGCGTGATTTAAAAACGATTTTCATACATCTAAAAAAAGGAGAGATAATCTATAAAATATTATAATTATTAAACATACATATGTATATGTATATATTTTATGGCTCACTTTTTAACTGTCGGGCAGCAATAACAACATGACTTTGCCTCGCCTCCAAAAGAAAAAGAAGGTCGCATCTGTGGGTTACAAAAATAAAACAAACATTAGTGTTTGCAGGTAAATTTTATAAATTTTAACGATTATACATTTTTATGTACATGTACACTTTCATGTGTAACAGACCAACTAGCAGGAGCGACTTACTAAAATAATAATAAGAACGAATAGGAATGTTTGTGAGACGCTTCGTTAGTATATCTGTACCTTAGGGGTTTATTTCGAGCTTTACATTTTACATCTTAGCACACTTCAAGCGAACGAGTGTGCAAGCGAGAAAGAATGACAGCCACAGACAAGCATAACCAAAGCTGCTGGACGTGGTGGGGGTAGCCACTGAAATATAATTTCTTCATTCCGGCTATAATAATGATCCATCTAATCTAAAAGATGTCACTTCTCTACGGAACTGCGTTTATTGCTTCTTATATCTTCAAAATTGTGGCTGTAGGAGATATTCGCTCTTGTCGGGGCGGAAGGGGCGGGCCGCAATTTCAAAACACACTTGTAACAGGGTGATATTACAGCTGTCTTGATGCAACATTTGGTTGCTGTAACTTTTATAGTCTCTGATATCCAGACGCTCATAAAGACGGACAGACAGGCGGACTGACGGACAGACAGACTTGATTCTGATCAAGAAACCCTATGTACTCTTCGAGTACCGGGTATAAATAATCCACGCAAAAAACATGTGAAGGTCCGTTCCAGTATACACTTTAGCTCACAAAGAAGACTTTTTTCCAACACGGAACAGATCCTTAAATTGGAAATTATAACTTTAAGTTAAAAACAAACGAGAAGGGACGTGTGAGACGCTTTTTACGCTTCACAACTTTTATACCCGGCACTCAGTACTACATCTGCACCTTAGCGGTGTTTTGTCAAATTTTAAATTTTTTCTTCAACTGTCATCTACATCTACAACACTTCTCACACCAACACGCTCCGTTAGCTCGCCGCCCTTCCCTAGACCCACATACTGCAGACTCGCGGCAGAGGCAGTGACCGCACACAAAAAAAAAAAAGAAACAAAAATAAGCTGGAGGACGGAGTGGGTTAAAAGTTGCTGTTTTAAATATCTCATAAATTGGAAAATACGATTAACTGATCCAATATTTTTGATGCATTTTATTTAGTAGGCTTTTTACTACGTGTTCTGTAATGTGAACAATATCTAGTGGTTCGCGATGTCTTCTACAGCTAGATGTAGTCCTGAGTGCCGGGTATAAAAGTTGTGACGCGTAAGAAGCGTCTCACACGTCCCTTCTCGTTTGTTGATATTTTTCTTGTGCATTCGAAACAGAAACAAAACTTTATTTAGATATGTATGCAGGTGTGTGTGTGCGTGTGTTGCGTGTTACAAACGTGAGTGTTTGACAATGTGTCTGTGTATTTTTGTGTGATATTTTAGATACAGAAAAGTATGGCTACATTACGCACTAAAATATACTTCATAAGATGTGCACAAACAGAAAGCAAGGAAAAATATAACTTTGTTACTAAAACACAGACAGTTTCATACAAAAATGATATATTTATATATGTGTGTTTGTAATACCAGAGATGCTGCTGAGAAAAAAATATATAAAAGAATATCAAAAATAATAATGTATAAACTCCATAAATAATGTGGTACTCCAACATACAAAACAAAATTTTCTCCTTTTTTTTTAAATTTCATTTTTTTTTTTTTAGTATTTTCTTTCGATACAATTCGCATATTTAACACTCAGAAGCGTAAGTGGTTGATTAATTATAAGTAATAGGAATAGTAATAATAATGAGTTGTTAGGGTAACAAAAACAATTTGTTTTTTTCAGTATAAATAAAAAGTGAGTTAGTTATGGAGTTTTGGGGTGATAACAAATCAGAGAAGTAAAAGCTAATTATACGCGGCAGCGTATAGATTGTATATTATATATAATCCATTGAACAAAACAAGTAACTTGTAACCACAACTAATATATATGTATATACCATTTAATGGGCATATATTTATTATATTAAAGAACTTCATTGTGACTTGAAACATAATCAAAGAACAAATCAAAACAGATAATAAACTGCGCATAATTAAAAAGTGTATCGGAAATATCAAAATAACTTACAAACTAACACTCTGAACAGATCGTGTGTGTATTTATCCTTTTTTTTTTGTTGAATTTTTGTGTGGTTTGCTTAATGTTTTGTCATGATCAAAATGTGTACAAAATATTTTAAGTTTAATAAAAAAAGTTTTGGTTTAACCAACTCGTACGACATTTCAAAAAAAAAAAATAGAAAAAAGAGTCGTATTAGATGTGGGTGAGGGTCTTGTGAGGGGCGTAAGAGTACTTTAACAGAAAGTAAACTACAACTAAAGACTAATAGTAATATTTTCTTGGGTTTGTTTTCAGTTTTTTTGTTGTTTTGTTTTTATCGATTCTACTTCAAACATTCAACGTGCTTAAAATTTAAGTGTTTTTCTTGCTGTCTCTATTTGGCACGGATTTCATGTTGTTTTTTTTTTTGATTTTAAGATTATTATTATTTATTATACGTACAACGTTGGCATTTGCATCTCTTTATCGGTATACTTGCGATGCGCGCGCTCTACACGGGAAACTCTCATCATTCAGTGACTAATCCATTTGACAAATCTTTTGTATCTCATTTTTGCTTGCTTGATTTCTACTTTTATTTTCTTTTGTTACTTCTCCTTGTAGATTATCGGAGGTGTACTACCGATATTCCGTTGCTTCGTTGCGCCCTGTCTAGTAAGGCTTGGAGGCATCCTTAGGCTTCTTGAGCTGCACCTTCAAGCGCTTTGTGCCCACCTGGAAACCATTCATGGCCTTGATGGCCACCTGGGCCGAGTCTGGATTATCGAACGAGACAAAGCCAAAGCACTTTGATAGACTGGTCTGCTTATCGATAAACACCTTGGCCGATATGACATTGCCAAAGGGCAGGAATGTCGAGGCCAGATCCGTATCGGTGAATTCCTGCGGCAGATGGTAAATGAATAAGTTGCATCCCTCTGGGCCTGTAAAGAGAAGGCAATTAAATAAAGAAAATTAGTCTTCAGTTGTAATAGTTTTTAAGGGAGCTACAAGCTCCACGCTCCCAACTAGAAACGTTTTCCTATTTATAATTGTCTAATTAGCTCATATTTTTATCTACTTCTGTTTGCACCTTGCAATAGGTAATTAATAAACAAAATCACCCGCCCATTAGACCTCAAAATTGAGACTGAATGTTGGAGCAGACAAAGGCTGAAATTACATATATAAAGGCTACAGGCAGGGGCAGAATGAGTGGATTTGCAGCTGATTGCCGAAACGGATGCGGACACTCTTAACAACCCGTGCTAGAAGGGCTTTACCTCGCTCTCGCTCTCTTTCCCTCTCAGTCACCCTGTAATGCCACCCTCTCTTTCTGCCAACTGTCCATCTACGTGTGTGGGTGTGACATTTTGTTTAGCAGCACGTGCCGGGCTCTGCTCAACATCATCATAATAATCATCATCCCCTTGCTCTCCCGTTTTTGCTGTCGCTGCTCTGCCGCTAATGCTGATGCTGTTTCTGCCTCTGACTCTGTCACATATTAACGGGACACGCGCGCCTCATGCTGCGGTTGCACTTTCCGTGCAAATTACTGTCAACGTCAGTAGCCCATGAGCAAGCAGTCAGCAGTAATACACCCCTTCCCAGCAGCTAAAGCGGAGAGGGAGAGCAGAGGTGGCATAGCAGAGACAGAAAGAGTGAGATGGCTGGCAAAGCAGTGCTGAGAGCAGAAAGAGAGCAAGCAACGTCAGCAGTTTCGTTTTCCCTTTTCACTGAAGCTTTTTAATGACAGCAAAACGCTTGAAACGTCATTCGGCGGGCGTCGACATGATGCGGTTTTTCAATTTTATTCAGGCTGAAACCTGAAAAACACATACAAAAACCAAAAAAGAAAGGTACGAATCACAATAACGGTAGCCTCATAGTAGATACAAGGGGGGATGGTGAACCATGTAAAGCATACCAGCCAAGAGTCGGTTTACATGAAAGGAATTAACGGCTCAGCAGACAACACACACTTGACCCTGACGATCCTTCCAACCTTTCCGAGTTTTTTAAGTTTTATGAGAATTCTCTACAGAAAAGATAATCAGCGAATTCCCTAGCTCTCTGCTACTTTAAGTCTGCCTTTGATACCTTCTCTGCCTGTTGCAGCAAGCTTATCATTAATCCATAATGATTATGGCAACAATTTCAGTGCTTTTCAGATACTTTGATGTTTTCCCAGAGCCATAGCCCACAGCTACAGCCTATCCGAGGCACACACATATGTATGTATGTATGTACATATAGTAATCAGATATGATTGTTGATGTTCGCCATACGCCCACTCAATCCTGCTCCTGGTCTGTGCTGAGCCTAGGGACAGGCAGGCTGGTAGGCAACTCCATCATCGTTTGCCAGAAGCGCTATTGATATATCACATTGATATATGACTTTGTCAAATGGCCTCAGTCCCTGTTCCTGCTTGCCCCACTGCTGGCCTGCTGCTTGCTGCACTCCTCTGGACAACCCACAGTCGCCTCCTCTGCACTCCTCTCAAGGTACATAAACTGACTGCTGACAGATTGCCTGACGCTGATGCGATTACAAATTGAATGGCGAAGAAAGCCGCTCCTAAGGCTCCTAAGGCACGCCTTGAGGGCCAGCAAGCCAGCACTGAGGACTCGATGACTCAGTCAGTATTTTAATATTAATTGACTTATGGACACGCTGTTGCTGTTGCCGCTTTGCTCTGCTTTGTAATTTTGCACACCTATCAATTAATTTAGTCTCTTCTGCGTGTGTGAGTCCTGCCTGGAGCGTCGAGAGGAGTGAAGAAAGTCCAATTAAAACTTCTTCTATCTATTGAATTACGCGCCTAACAGGCGACACGTGTGGCACCAAAGCGCGCGACACCAGCCCAGCTCAAACGATATATAATTAGATGAAAGAGATCGAAAGAGGGAATGAGCGAATGAAAGGGTGGGGCACAAAGGCATTGGTAAAGATGTTGCCAAGGCAACAAATGAAAGACTGCTGGCCGTCGAAGAGAGTAACGCAGAAATGGTGGAGGCAGCTTCTAGTATAGGTTAATACCTTCAATGATATCTACTTAGCTTAGTAAGTTGAAGAAATATAAACAAAATAAATAAGACATCAACTAAGGGAAATAATCACACAGAGTGGCAGAGAATTGTCTGAAGATCTGCGCAGTTCTTGCAGAAACTTTAGCTGTAGAAATATTATCCCCAAATTTAGTTAACTGCCAAACTTGAAATGTTTTTCGCTACACTTTTCCTACCACCATAAATATATGTATGCAATGGCATTTTCCCTTTTCCCCTACACACACACAAACAAACTTTCTGTTTTGTTTTTGTCTGACTGCTGAATTTTTTTGTGAGTGCGAAAAGCGATTTCCTATATTGCATTTTCCTTTTCCGTTCAGCACAGATGCGCCATCCGACTTGGCAAATGTCTGTATATCTGTATGTCGTCTGCCACAGAGCCCGCCCGCCCTATTGATACACCCAGATACAGATATTCAGTTGCAATGGGCAATGGGAAACGGCAGAGTGTTATGTCCTTTTGAAACATATTTTTTCGCCATTTCTTGGCTGTCGCGCGTACATTGCAGGAGGAAGCAGGTGGAGGCGGAGCACAGGCGCTGCTGTCTACCGTCTTGTCGTGACCCTCTCAAGGGCATAAGCGAAGCGGAGCCAAATGGAATCTGTGGCATAGTCTAAGTCTACAAAGTTCCAGTTACTGCAGACGTCGTTTTTCGTTTCCTTATTCGTAGTCGTATCTGGTGGAACTTTATTGATTTTAATCCGAGCTTATATGTGACTTTACACGGAGAGAAATTAAGGGAAAAATATATAAACAAATGGAAGAGGCATTCAAATTCGTGGAGTTACTCGTAGTATTATTCCGAAATGTATTCCTCTATTTTGGCAAGTCGTAGGTCACCTCGTTCCACAGTCTCTACCATCAGCATAAGTCGAAAATCTTTAGACTTCCTATGCCGTCTGACAATCTCTCTCTCTATCTGTTTTTTCTCTCTTGGGTCCTCTCTCACTGTGTTATTTTATATTCTAACTTCCGGCTTATGCACATGACTTTAATCCGTGCTGCATCCGAATGGAGAGACGACCGCTGCCGCCTTAGGGTCACCCAGCCATGCCATTGCCATGCCATGCCATGGGATTTCCGTCGTCTGTCACTGTCATATTTGTTGCCGCCTTCCTTCCGTCCTCTCTTCGGAGAGAGAGAGAGAGATAGCCTCCTAATACTCCTACTGAGCCTTTTCCTCCTGAGCCTCCTTCAACGAAATGCTTCTCCTCCTTCTATTGCAGCTTTTGTGGATCTCCTCCTTTAAAGAATTATATTTATTTACTGCACATATGTATGTAGTTCTGGGTGGGCTGCTCCGTTTAGTAATATTTTTTTCCTTGCTGTAGCCCTTGCTCTGCTTCCTGCTTCATTTTGCCTGCCAGTCGTCTGGGCCGGGGCTGTCTTGTCTACATGCTTATAAGTTGTTTCCTGTCCTTTCTATGCTCTCACTCTGCACATCCGTATACCAAGTACATCTCCCTGCTCCCTCCTTGTTGTGCTGCTTGTCGCCGTTTAAAAAATTGGACATGTTGAGAATTTATGTATTTACGCCCAACCCCGACATTGTTGATGCAGTTTTTCCAAACGAATCTGACATTTTTAAGAATTTCTCAAATATATTTTCTACTCTCACTTTCGCCTAGAGTTCGATTTGAGGAATATATTAAAAGTGGGGCCGCCTAAAATAGAAATCGGCAAGAAAAATGATAATAAATAAATATAAACCATTGTGCAAAGGATATTTAAGCTGCTTAGAGAGGGAATATATAATCTAACAAATAGCTTAAAAAAATACATTTGGGTATTCAACATGTAGATATTGCATAAAAGCAAAATAAAAGATAACTTTTTACAGCTTACAGTTACATAAGATACGCTTTCTGGACCATATTAAAAGTTAAGTTTGTAAAGAGTAAAACTGTGGGTAAAATACTTAGTATAACCAAAATGAAAACAATAATTCAATACAATTATAATATAAATAATATAATACAATTTTGAATAATATGCAACTATTTTTTCCCCTTCAAACTGATTTCACCTACATATATACTTTGCTCTATTTTCTCTAGACATTTAACTGCAGGGTTTACCCCACATTAAAGAGTTAAATACGTCCATAAAATCTTCCAATTATTTTAGACAGTTCCACTGACACCCATAAGCTGTGAGGTCAGTTGTAAAATATCCATTTGGATTAATACGCAATCCCCCTGCCCACACCCCCTGTAATTATAGTCATGATTCCAACACACACAACCACTCTCTCTATCTCTCTCTATCCCTCTAAGAAGCTCCTCCAAGTCATCTGGAATAGTTTTTCAAAATCTAACCAACCGAAGGAAACATGGCAGCTCACATTTCGCATCGAGCAATTTATTTTGCTGTACGAGAACCGAGACGCCCCCATACACACACATACACACTAACAATCCAATACCCCTTCATGACGTGTATTTGTTGTTGTTGGTCATGTGGGAATTTTCGGCGACGTCATAAGTCACAACAGCAGCAGGGCAAAGCAGGCGGACAGCAGAGCAAAGAGGAGAAAGATTCACATCAGCAGCGGAGTCAAACGGTAGGAAGAGAGTCACGGGAGCATAAAAGGAGGATCCAGAAGTCACTCAACTGCAAAAATATACCTCACATTCTCTCTTGTCCAAATACAAAAACGTACTACGTACATACACACATACATACCTACATACATATGTATGTATATGATGATACTCTCTCTTGCTCTCAGGCTGTGTGAAAGGTTTGGGTTGTTTGCTTATGGAACCGGAAATATAGCAAAAAGTGCAATGCCAAAACATTTTCCGTTGCATTTTTTGTTTGCCCACTCCTACAGAGTCTTGGCTGCTCCGGCAACTTTAATGTTATGTGTGCCAAAGCACTCATACATGTAAAAATACAAATACAGATAGATACATTCTACACACATCTGGTGTGGAGCTGCAATATTTCCTTCGATATTTCCCCGACATCAACATCGACGTCTGACTAATGGAATTGTGTGTCATGTGTGTGTAATATTTACACTGTGTCAAAAGCTGATAAAAATTTAAGCTCCGCCAAAATTCTGCTCATAAATTCACATCTTAGACATGTGTGGAAGATAGCTGGGGAGTAGCAGGATGCATGTACTACAAGATGATTGATCTTATTGATTTTTCCATCTCGTGCAAGTAACATTTGCTTCTTGGCTGTTGGGAGCTTATGACATTGAAGGATTTGTGTCAGCAAAAGCATTCGATTGGTGGGATTAGATGAGTGTAAGTGGGATATATACATACATAGATAGAGATAAAGGATAGAGGATACGGGGTACGGGATAGGAATTAGAGTTGAAGGCATCCTGAAGCTGCTGCTGCTGGGGGTTTAAACACAGTTTTATTTGTTAGCGAGGGGAGAGACGTCCAATGTCTTGTAAGATTTATTTTTTTTTTTCATTCTATTCAAAGGATATGCTTCCTTTGCACCACCATCATTAGTATCTCTTCTATCCCCATCAACGTGAATTTTAACTGAATTCCAAATCCCATATCTCTCAGCCAACTGCATGGCGCATAGCCATTTGATGGATGACTCTTTACAATAAAATAAGCCCCGCATCTGCAGCCCATCTCCATCTCCCACCGCTGCTCCATCTTTTATCTTCCACTGCAGCTGCTCTTAAAAAAAAAAAAAAGCCAACGACGAACAATGGAACAGAACTAAAACTAAGTAGATTAGACAGACACATCCACAAAATGTCCACGACAGAATAGAGGTGGGGGGGCAATGAACAGACAACAGTGAAGAGAGAAATAAAAAAAACCACATCACGAACGAATGACGCTGACAGCAATGAGCGGGTTAATGCATTTGATGCTGCATCAGCAGAACGTTAACAAATACGACTGCAGCGGCGAAAGAGAAAATAAAATTTGCACTAAAAACGAAGTGCGAATGTTCTAACAATTGTTGCACAATTTTTTTAGAACTATAAAAAAAATATCGCTTAATAAAAAAAAAGGAAACTTACATAGTTATACATCGAAGGATGTTTCTTTTCTGTTACAAGTTTAAGCTTAGAACTCTCCGAATACCTTCTCTAATTATATATACCTTCTCCACAGTTAGTGTGAACAATCTGCCAGCTTTATGTAACATTGAAGCGAAGCGTCGAGCAAATCGGACTGACACAACCGCAACGGCAGCAGCGGCAGTATTCAGGCATTTGTTACATTTATCAAAATGTCAGCCATTTAGACATTTCTATTCCTCCTATTCCCACGCAGTTTCCACCCAACCCTCACACACCCAGCCCGCACTGAATCCCAAAACCACAAAACCCACCCTCCCCCACTAGCACACTCACCTTCAATCTGCTTGCCCGCAGCGGCGGCTGCTGCGGCGCTCAGGGCCACACTGGCCAGCGGCGATGTGGACAATGCACTGGCGCTCCCAAATTGCGGCAAGCCGGCGGCTGTTGACATATACGCCGATGCCAATGGATTCGGATCGGACCCTGTGGAAAAAGAGAGAGAAAGTGCATTTTAGTTTTGGTATCATGACAAAGTAAATTCGTATTTTAGCTGATTTTTGTTGTTGTTTTGTTGGCGAAAATTACATAACGAAATTATAAATGTGGCTGGGGCACAGTGTGTGGTTTGGTTTTTGGGTGTGTGTGAAAAGGGGAGCTGTAGAGTTGATTTCAGTTTGATTCATTGGCCACTAGTTCGTTTCAATGATTGATGCTTAAATTTAAGGCAGCAAATAATGCGTCTTCTGACACAAAGATTGGTTAAGTACGATTTGAGCCACAAAGTATTATAAATATCGACAACTAAATAGCATAATTTCAAGAATTTCCTAAACCCTTAGAAGGAGGACAGTTGGACTTTCACAAGACATCTTACAGTTTTACTCCACTCTTCAAGCATACATCTTTCACCATATTGAAAGATTTAAAACTGTGGGCTACAAATTATGTTTATAAGAGACGGCACAAATATTCGAATTCTCTTTTTTCCAGCATCTCAAATTTATGGAAAAACTTTTCGAACCCTTTTTTTTGATAAATTTCTGATACAAGTTCATAATTATAATTTAGTTGGTTTCGCGTTTCATCAGAGCGTAATTAGTCATTGAATTTTACACGCTGTGACATGGAGATATTTGATTATATTACAAAACGCACACCCAGACCCAGGCAGGCCACAGAGAAACACGTGCAACAACAACAAACCCAAAAAACACACAAATCTAAAATTAATTTGTCTCCATATGGGGGTTTCTCTTGTTTCCTGGTTTTTGGATTATGTGCGATTTGACGCCTGTTGTTTGTTATTTAGTTGTTGTTGCGTGTTCCGCCATTAGCAGCCGTCATGCAATGCAATTTTGTGGTTTTCCCTCGGCGCGCTCTACCATCAAACATTTACTTTATAGCTTGTGTATGGATGGTCTGGTGTATGATCGCTGTTATTAATGAGTTTTGTAAACGGTCCTGTTTTGTGTGTTGTATTATTGGGAAATTTTCAGCAATGCGGTTGGTCGACAATGCGACGACTGCGACCCCCTACGATGATTTCAATAAACCACATTTGGCTAATAATGAAAATATTATGACTGTGAAAATATACATAGTTGTCAGAAACAGGGAAAAAGAGGGGAAGGAAAATACGGAAAATAGTTTAAGGGTTTTTTAATATAGGACATTGAGACGAAAGTTTAACAGTCGGAGGGGTTTGGAAAAAATAGAATATAATGGAAGAATGGAGAGGCTAAAATAAGCTTTAACTTTACACTCAATAAAAATCATATCTTAAAAAGTAAGAAAAATCTTGAGGTAAGATTTCATAAAATTTCAAGGAAATAGACAAACAATCCTGGAAATCTCGTAACATTTTTAAATCTATTTTTTAATCTAGATAAGTTAAGCTATAAATTCTCCCAACAGTTGAAAGTTTTGAGCAGAGCCACACGTAGATCATCACTAAGATACCAGGTACGCAGCGGAGAGTAAACCACTCACTAGGACGAAGAGAGCGGCGAGCGGCGATTCCAATTATACTAATTAAAGTGCCCATATTTTCCACAATATATAAAAATGGAAACCCGTAAATTTCCAGTCAAATATTTTCCCAAAAGATTTCTGTCAAAATTAATTTAAAAGTTGCAAACGAAAAACTTCAGATATCAGAAAGGTGTTGCCCTCAATTCTTGCAACTTGCGATAAGAAATTGTAATTTAACAGAGAGACCCCGTGCCCAAAACGTACCCGAAAAACTTTTTCTAAGAATTTGAAATGAAAGACAGATGTAGACAAAAAAAAAACAACAAAAACAGAGAGAGGAAGTAAACTTTTGCACATATTTGTGCTGAAAATTGTTTTAATTGTTGTTCAAAGTTTTTGGCAGGGCGAGTGGAATGAAAAAGTCGGTAAGTAAAGCTTGAAATATGCCCCGGACGGGGCCTTAAGCTCATCAAACAGCAAAACAGCAAAAGCCAACCCAACCAGGCTAACTAAGTTGGCCAATAATAATCCACATGAGTGGCCGGGCTGGAGAGTCTGTGAGCGCACAAAAAAAACAACAATCAAACAGTCCAAAAAGAAGCTTTTCCAAATAATGCCTACAACTATTTTCCCCCGGTTGTTGTCTGTTTTTGTATTTGCAAGTTTTTAGTTTACTGTTGGAGAAATTGGTTCCGTTCAGCCGTCGACCTCCTCCTACTTGCTGGCCACTTGCAGGCTATTTGCACACTTTTTGTTCAGACCGTACTTTGTTGTTGCTGTTGTTGATGATTTTGAAGTGCAAAAAGCGAAAAAGTGTATAAACAAACGTAATGGAGAGCTGACTTCCTGAAAAGGGAAATAAACGAAAGTAAAGCAACTGAAAGCCAGCCAGCAGGAAGAACAAAAACGAAGGAGTTCAAAAAACGTGTTGAAACCCTAAATCAGTTTTTTGGGGGCTGGATCTGTGTTGGTTAGGGATCGATGTGTTGCCCGAGGCTGATACAGTTTCTGGGTTCTGTGTGCTTAGTTCTCTCCGGTTTTGGTATTATAAACTACATACTTTACTGCACTTGAACAAAACTTTGATTAAGATTTTCGTTTGTTGCCTCCTGTTGGTCGTCGGTGCTGGCCTGGCTTTTGTTTTTTGTTGCAACTTGACGGAGGGAGAGGTCGAAGAGTGGAGGGAAAGCGAGCGAAGTCGAAGAGTGAAGAGCGAGGTCGAAGAGTGGTGAGTGGAGAGCGAGTGATTCAGAAACTTTTTGAATTGGATGCGCTTCAGCTTCAGGCTGTGTTCAAGAGTGTTGTAGCAGGCAGATGAGTTAGTAGATTTACAATATGAATAGGGAAAAGTTGCATATTTTTGTACATTTAGAAAACAATATCTGTAGAAAGACAGAAAATCTATCTGGGAAAGAGGTTAATTCATTGCAGGAGAATGTGGAAAATTCTTACACGGAAATACAAATTAATTGAAATTTCTAGAGCTAAGCGAAACTGCTCAATCGATTGCATACACTCACATGTCAGCAGTGACGCGGATATGAAGATTAGAGAGAGTGTGAACGGCAGTTTGAGCTGACAATAACATAATTAGAGAGACCGAAAGCAGCCTAAAATTTAGCATGCGATTTAGCCTACAATTAGGGCAACAAGCCTGCACAAATCGTCGGCCATTGAAATGTTGGGCTAAGATGAAAATATAATTTATAATATTTTATAGTTTCTAATAATTTAGGTATAATTTCATCTTGGAATGACTGTGCCCGTCTAACTTCTTTTAACAGCGCCAACGTGTTATTGGGTGGTTATTGATGTACCAAAACTGTTACCTCTAATTTATACATTCAAAATCCATCCTAAGCATTACAATATGTGCCAAACGATAGAAAAAACCCACCAAATGCCAAATCCTATCCCGATTTCCAGTCTATTATTTGTATTATAGCTTAGAGTCTCTCCCAAGCCATTAAACCTTTAGTATCTCTTCCCAATTAAGACCTTCCTTTACCCAATTCTAATCTGCACCAATATACAATATTTCTGGCGTCTACCCTCATTGTTATATCACTTGCAATTTGTATCGAGGAGCCATTGTTTCGCCTCCCCCTATACCTCACAACAAATAGTTTTTCGCTAGTCTTCCAATTCCCTGCCAATACGCTCCTTTCCATAAACAATTTTCAGGCGAAAATCCAACTTAGACGGGTTTGCCCGAGAATCGAAAGAGCTCAATTTGTTTGTTCATTTTATTTGTGGCAGGCAAGGGGCAGCCGCCACACACACACCGACAGTGAGTGCAAAAAGTTTTGTTACTCGTGGCAGCTTGGAAAGCGATTTTGTAGTTTAGTTTATGTATCTGAGCTGGCAAAACAAATCCAAAATCAAAAGGAAAAAAAGGGGAAATTTCTACGAGGAAGGTTGTAGCCAGAGGTAAAAGAGAAAAGGGGCAGACGCCGAGATTGGCGCATCCCTGCTATGTCCTCCCATAGTACCTCCAAGAGTCCACGGTCCAGTGTCCTTCGAATACTCCAAGTACATCTACTGGGGCAAGAATTTTTAATATTTCATTAAATGGAGTGCCCGGAAATCGTTCAAGTGGCACACGATGAGCACGCACAAGTGCACAAGGGCCAAAGCTTACGGAAAGCCGCACCAGTCTCAGTCGCAGTCCCGCAGCAGATTATAAGCTTTCAGAGACACAGAGGGAGAGACCAACAGAGAGTGTGGCAGGGAATGCGCTTAATTTTTGGCATTTTTCTGGTTAAGTCAGCCGCAGATTTTCTTTCTTATTTGTCGAGGATTCTTTCGCTCTTTTCCTCCCTCCTTTTGGTGTTATTTTTTCCCCTCCAACTAAGATCCACTTGAAATGAACTTGCTAAGAAAATATTTAAGAAGTGAAAGGGAGGTGCGTGGTGCAGGACAGGGGTCGCAGGAGATGCCTAGAGATAGGCAATGACATTCCCTTTGGGCCGTGGGACAGGACCTATTTTTCGTTTTATTTTTTAATATTTTTATACCCGGTACTCAAAGAGTAAATAGGGTATATTGTATTTGTGCGAATAACGGTTGTATGTAACGCACAGAAGGAAGCGTTTCCGACCCCATAAAGTATATATATTCTTGATCAGCATCAATAGACGAGTCGATAGAGCCATGTCTGTCTGTCCGTCTTGTTTGTCGGCTAGTTCTCAGAGACTATAAGAGCTAGAGCCACCAAATTTTACATCCAGACTGCTATATGCTCACACTGAAACCAGTGTATTTCAAAAATGAGCCCAGCCCCCTTCCGCCCCCGCAAAAGGGCGAAAACCTCCCAATTCTACAACTTTGAAGATAAAAGAAAACTAAAAACGCCACTCCGTAGGAAATGGCCATATCTATCAGATCACCAAATTGGGATCCGATCGGATCATTATTATAGCCACAATGGAGAAATTAATTTCCAGTGGCTAAACCCACCCTGTCCCGCAGCTTTTGTTGTTCTTTTTACATTCTCTCATTCACACTCTGCTTCTGCTTCACTCGGTCCCTGCCTCTGCCCTCCCCTTGGCGATTCCTCTTCCGACTTTTAACCCACCCCGTCCCGGGGGTGGGAGCGTGTTGGTGTGAGAAGTGTTGTAGATGTAGATGACAGATGAAGAAAAAATTTAAAATTTGACAAAACACCGCTAAGGTGCAGATGTAGTACTGAGTGCCGGGTATAAAAGTTGTGACGCGTAAAAAGCGTCTCACACGTCCCTTCTCGTTTGTTTTTATTTTAAGAGATATTTTAACCCCAACTTCAAATCCTCTTCGTGATTCCTAACTCTGTTAATTTCTACCAATCTAAAGTCTCACTCACGCTGCCACCCTTAACCTAAAAAAAAAACAACTTCGCTTCCAAGCTTTGAGAACTGACAACGGAGCGCGGCGGGTTCTGCACAAGACCATTGAACAACTGTTTGCCCCAAAGCGCAAAAGTCAATGAGGCCAAGAAGAAACGTTGCAACTGGCTGGGAACACTCTTCTCTGGTTGGCTGCAATAAGTTCCGTGTTGTTAATTTCGCAAGAGAGTGTAACTTGTAATTTTGAATGTTGTAAGGTCTCTTCCATGGGATGCTGCTCCTGCTAAACCTCCTCCTCCAATGCTTTACGGCCATCAACTCTGCCCTCCACATCTGTGGCGGGTGACTTAAAACACAACGCGTTACGGCTGCCACGTGAACGTTACGTCGAATGCTTCGTTGACTTCAACTATCAAAGCTAACAACTTATATTTTAACGACAAAATGAAAACTCTTGTTTCCGGGCCAGAAAAAGTTTGATAAAACAAAAACTAAGAGAAATCGTAAGAACTCAAAATAAAATGCCAGCAAAAAACAATTTTAAAGGGTTTTCCGTCTCTCACCTGAGGATGATGATGATGATGATGTCTTGGCAGCGGCCTTTTTGCCCAAGAGGCCTGCACAATCCACACCAAAACCAATTTCACAATAATTAATCGTTGGGTAGCACACAATTCGGAATGGAGATTAAAATAACATTTGTTAGTGGAATATGTTAGTGGGTTATAAATAAATATTTTTAAATAATTACGATGGACGCTGACGTCAATCGAAACGGGCAAAGGCAATTCACTTTTGCCTATTTTAAGTCGATGTCCTTGAAGTTTCCGCTTCAATGAAAATTGACAAGGCCCCTACCTTGATTATAATTTGCTTGCCATGGATGGAAATCAAGGGAAGTGGGAAGGGAATCGGTAAAGTAAGGGGATTGAAAGGATATTTCACTAAATTAAGCTAATTGGCCACTTTGATCGTCGAATGATGACACATTTAGTGAGCCAAAGACCAGGAATAGAAAAGCAATTTGGACGGGGAGGAAATGGTTTCCCGAGTGGCAAGTTGTGGATACAATTAGACAGGAAAATAAATGAAAATTGTCAAGTTTATTGATTGGTAATTTTAAAGAAAAGTGGGTTCGACATAAAAGCAAATAAAATGTAACCAAAAAGAGAAGGACTCGACTTGTATTCTCTTAGCCATTTGCCACTCATTTCAGCCCATAACAACGACAACAACGAAAATGTTTGAGTGGTCACAAGATAATTACAAATCGATAAAAAAAAGGAAAGAAAAAACACTAAGCACAGGCAAGTAGAAAAGCAACAGGAAAACAAAAAGAGAGAAGAAGAGACAGAGTCTCTCTGTGAAGGAAGGAAAAGACTCTCCTCTCTCTCTATGACGCACAAAAATAAAAGAAAAACTTCATTACGGAAATGAGAGAAAATTAGATAATTCTCTCCAGTTAGCAGCGAACCAAGGGTGGGTTGTGGGTTGGGGGTATGGGCATGTGGGTAGATGTGTGGCATGTGGCACAACTTTGATGAATTATTAACTCTGGCCAACACAGAGAGCGGGCGGAGACGCTTCTTTCATAATTGAGCGGCGCCATCAGCAGATGGAACTTGCTGCCTTAATCGCAGCATTTGATGCTCTCTCTTAAGTGTAGGAACAGGACTCTCTTTTGGGTAACAAAACTTACAGAGCAGAGCGGCCGTGTTTGTCAGTTGTGCACTGCCCGGCGATGAGGCAGCGGCAGCGGCTGCTGCGGCATTCGTTAGACTTGGCTGCGTCATGGCCGCAATGGCCGCCAAATTTTGTACAGTCATCGGTGTCAAGAGTCCAGCGGCAGCGGCAGCCGCTGCACTATCCTGATTTGAATTATTTTGCTGGGCATTCAGGCCAGTGAGGGCTGCATATAAGAAAAGGAGAATATTGCTTAATAGTCACATGCAAATGGCCACTCTGCTTACCTTGCAGCAGCTGCTGTTGCAGTCCTACGGCCTGCAACTGTTGCAACAGTTGAATAGAGGCCGGTGTTAGGGCATCGGCGCCCAGCACTGGCGATTGTTGTTGCGGTGGGTTTGGCAGTATCGGTGTGGAGACACTCTGAGCCGCCTGTCCTAGCGGTATATTGATATTACTGGCCAAATTCCACAGATTCGCTTGGATTTGCTGTATCTTCTTTTGTTCCTTTTCCTTTTGGGTATCGGCAAACTTGACGACCAGAGGCGAAGTGCAGCCCTCCATGATTTTATTTTGGCTTAGAGTCTGCAGGGGGGAAGAAAAGGAAATTTTAAGATTTGATAGCAACATTTTATGCAACATATAACTTACCACTTTAATGGCCGAAATGGCAGCGTGTTTGGTGGCGAATGTGACAAAGGCACAACCCTTGCTCTGTCCGTTCTGATCTCTCAATACCGTGCACTCCTCAATGTTGCCGTGGACCTCAAATAGTTTACGCACGTCGTTCTCGTTCAACTTTTTGTTTAGCATGCCGACAAACAGTTTGCGTTCTGTAACAAGATACAACAAGAAAATATAGTTAGTAATCTGTACTAGACCTTGGCCTTGGTAAATTAATCGCTCCGTGAAAAAATCTTGCCTTAACCGCATCAAAAGGTAATCCAATAACCAGGCTCACCTTGCCCACAGTCGAGTGGGCTAGGGCCAGTGGTTCGGTTCGGGCTGGGGTCTGGTGTCTGGTGTCTGGGCTGGGGTCTAGGTCTAGGTCTGGGCGGGTGATTATCTCTATTTCTGGTGGCTCTGTGCTTGGCCAGGCTTAGTTAATTTTACCATTTTCAATGCTCAATTAATTTTACATAAATTAAAACTCTCTCTCTCAAAATGGAATGCACTAGACTTGTCTGGACTCGATAACTATGTAATTGGCAGGCATTTAACATTTCGCCAAATATTTGCGCTCTCTCTCCTGCCCCAGACGCATACTAGCAAAGGTCTCTACAGGCAACGAGGGGGTCGGGCTCTACTAATTTATTTGCACAAACACGCAAAACGCGCACTACACAAATTAATTGGTATCGAATGTGCAATTGGTTGTGAATGTTTTTTTTTTATTAGCGCCAGAATGTTGTTTTGTGCGGGTTGATCGGTTTGGTTCAATGGGTTTTCTATCTATTTACTAAACTAAATTGGAAATCAATTGGCTTAAACACATTTTAAAGTGCCAGCGATTAAGGGAGGGCTTAAAATGTTGAAGTAACTTGAATGAACAACGCACAAATGTATGAATTGTATGAATTTTGAAACCCTATGTGCATTTTTTTTTTAGCAGTAATAATGATGGTCAAATGGTACACTGAAGGATGAAAATATTCATACAGGTTTATAGAATGGATTTTCCACATTATTTTCCATTAATAAAAAATCCAATAGTTGGTGTGTGGAAGAGTAGATACATTCAAATAAAGTACAAATGTACGCCTCGTATCTTAAGATTATTCTTAGTGTATTTGTTTTTGCCTGAATTCAAGATATTCTGCTTGGTTGATTTTCTGCTAAAAGTGCTTAATTTCCGCCTTGTCTTCGCACCTTTTCTGTACGCAAGTATGAGTTGGCGGGAGAGAGTATTGGGTACTAAGAGAGTAGCGGAGATCATAGAAGCGAAGAAGCGATAGGAACTCTGGCTGTGGTCGCTGGTAAGCTTGGGTGTTCACAAGTGCAAGACAGAGAGGCATTGCTTTCTGTTTTCGCACTCGTCTAGAAGAGAGTGTGCTTCTTGAGAGAGAACCTATCCCACCCCAGAGTGGATCATGCAAGTAACAACATATGTACATGTGTATATGCACTCTGCTTGGTGTTGCTGTGTGGGAGTGAGAGGCAAATTTCGGTACCTGCTTTGTGTTGTGTAAACATTTGGCATGGCAAGAGAAAAGGTTTTGCAGTGGCTTGAAAGTTAGCTGCGAGTTTTTGGTTTGTCCGTTTTGATCTCGAATTTCGTAACACACACACACACCTAAAATTCTGTTATTTGCGTTGCTCAGTGTAAAGGGAAAATAACAATGGAACAAGAGATCCTGATAAATTTGAACAGAAATACAAATTATGTTTTCATTCTTTTCGTCCCATAATTCCAGCTTATTCTCGTCTGTCTCTCTCTCTTGCCCACATAGATAAGCAGACCAATTATTTTTTGTGGTAATTTCTACTGCATTTTCAGGCAATATCAACCGAAAAAACATCGCCTAAAATGTCATTGTTTGGAACTATTTTTATTTTATCGCTTCAATAAACGTGAAATTTTTAGCAAACTGCAAATTATGTGTTTTATGTGCATTTTGAACCCATCCGCTGCACCCCCTGCACACACAGTTCATTCGTGGCGCCGGAAAATCTGTTTTTGGATATCAATTAAAATTATAATTAAGCTGCTTATGGTTAAAAATTGATTTTTAGTAGCCATTTCTGGTCATTGACTCGCAAAAATATTAAATTTATATTTTGCACACTTTAAAATTATGTTGATTTGAGGCGGATTGTGAAATGGTTTTTATATTCTCTTGGAGTAACCACAAGAAATGTTGAAATTCAGCTTAATGGGAAAAGACGGGATTCCTAATGATGGCAACACCCCTCGCCACACTGCAGCACTTGCCACATTTTCAAGCATCAATGTGCTGCAATGCAGCTACCATGCCAAGCACTCTCAACGTGCTCCCGCTATCCAATTGCCATTCCGAGTGCTGCTGTTGCTGCTGCTGCATCATCATCATCATCCTGGAGCGTTCTCAAATGCAAAACCGACGCCTGCAGTGGCGCTACACCCACAAAGAAGAAGCAGCAACCGCCCACAGCAGAGCACAGTTATTATTATTATGATTATCGCAAACTGCAACGGGAACAGGCATCAACTAACTGCACTTGAGCTATATTATCATAATCCCCGCAGCAGAAATTGCGCACAGTCAGCAGACGCGGCAGCCGCATCAGCCATTTGAGTCCCACTGCCAGTTTCCTCCTCTCTATCTCTATCCCTCCATCAACAGAAAGGGAATTTAAAAATTCATTGAATTCGATGCTCAGCTGGGTTGTGTGTGGTGGCTGAATGCCAATACTTTGGACCGTTTCGAAACCCTCACTGTATCCATTCGAAAAAAGTACAAATATAACCTCAAAGTAAGAAAAACAAACAGGACGACTTTTCCATCAACTGTGAAGACTTTGGCTGTCTGACGCTGTGGTGTGACCTCATCAGTTCAGATCATCTACAAATTGAATGAGCTTCTTCAATGCTCCTTCGGTTCGTAGCAGTAAGACTGTCATGTACATATGTATGTATCTTAATTGGTTGAAACAGTGCTCTATATAAAGATGCTTCTTGTTAAGTTGTATTTATATACAAAGAATTCAAAGAAATTGTGTGCGTAATCAGTAGCTAAAATAATCATATCTTCTAGAAGGCAGCAGCTTCAAATTATCGGTAAATGCAGAGAACTTGTTCAGCTTTTCTTCAGGTTTATTTCTTATATTTTATGGATCAGCCATAGTCTTAAGAGACTTAATAGTATTAAGACTTCAGATTTAAATCCTAAACACTTTGAGTCTTTATATTTCGAGAGAAAAAATTCCCCATTTAATCTGAGTAGTCGACGATTTTAACTTTGTTAATTTCTTTTGCATTTTCCTCCAATTTAAGTCACAACCCTACTCTTCCACTCAACATCTACTATCTATAATCCCCATTAAGTGTTAGTCCATAAAGAATATTTTTTAGAATATTCACTAACATTTCTTTCACTAAATTCTCTCAAGGAATAACTCTTTTATTTTTTAACTACCAGATCCAGTCCCTCTCACATCTTGAGCGCCATTCAATTTAAAGTTGAATTCCTTCACTAAGGCTGGCGGGGAAAACTTTTAGGAAAGCCTTTAAGTCCGTTAGTTAGTTTTAAATTATTAATATTGCCAGGAGTCGAGAGTCCAGTCCCAGCCGTGAGCGTACTAGCTCTTTCTACCACCATAAATATGCATCCACTGGGTTTCCAAGAGGTAGTCAGTCCGTTGGATGCAAGATGCCGGAAGCTGAATGGAAACTGGAGGAGTCAGTGAGCCGGATATGGGGAAGGTAATGCAACTAATCTGCTTCTAGTGGCGCACATTAAGTGTTGCCACGCTTTCGACTTTAATTTGAAAATATAAAGCAGCCAAAGAGGGGAGGGAAGTGCGAGGAGCGACTAAAGTGCGGGCCACTTCTGCCAGCAACCTACATCCACCCATCCACATGTTCACGACTCTTTTTTTTCATCTTTTTTGTTGCCTCCTCCGTCGCTAGCCATTTTTGCATGCAACTCAACGTAACCCAGCGGCCAGGAGGCTATCACTCCAGCCCCAAACCAGGGCCGCAGCTGGACCAGAAAAAGGACCACCACCCAGCGCAAACGTCGAACTCCAAACCGAAACCAAATGCACAGCGAACGAACAAGCCATGACATCGAAGTCAACGTTCGGGGAAATGCGTTCTATACTGTACCTTCCTCTTCACTCATCCTAGTCAGCGGATAGGAGAAGAAGTACAGTAATCTACTAAGGGATACCCTACGCTAGGAAGGCACAACTAATCTAAACATTCAAACAGATCAAAGGTTAATTGCAGAGAGGACTTCTGGCTATAATTATGTCTTTATTATGTCTATTATTTAATATTTAATTTTTAGTTTGCATTGTTTATATATTTGTTTTTTATATCATTTTACATGGATAACTATTAAATTTTCAATCCCATCCGAACATGCTCTTACCTAAGCTTGTAAAAAAAAATAAAATTAACTGACAAAGCAAAGTGCATTAAAACGGGTCATGTTTGCCACCATATCACTCGCACATCTTAATTCACCTGCACCCCGCTCTCACTCATATTTCTCCCTGCTGCTCCCCGCACTCACTCATATTTCACTCCCCGGCTACCACCACTCTCACACTTAGCTAATGTATGTCACAAATATGAGCAGGCGCGTACGCAATGCCACGGATGGATGGACTTGCCTTGGTTGGATGGCCTCTCCCTCTCCACCACTCCCTCTGCCTTCATCTGCCACCTAATCACTTCTCCACCTGGTTGCCCTCAGCCGCCACCACTTTGCATGCATCGCTGCGTGTTTGGCATATTTAACAAATTTTCTCAAAAATAATGTAACTCTCCCGCTATCGCCCCATGTAGAACGAACTCTCGCTCGTTTTCGTTGTTTTCTGGGTGCTGCGGTTGTTTTCATCACCGCACATGTGGAATGGTCAGAACAAGAGGGTATAGAGGGAGGCTGATAGTGAGTGGCAAAATCTAATCAAGCGCTGCGGCAATGACCACACCAGGAGCACCATGGTCTCCCTCTCTTCTGCAAAGCCACACAGCAAAACGCAAAATAAGCCAACAACAAGACACACACCCGGATGAGAAAGGAAAGTTCTGCCAACTAAATGCAATTTCCCCTTATTGAAAATGCCCAAAAGGACATGCAGCACCCAAAGGGCTTAGCAAGGATAATAATAGGGGAATATATAG